AGAGGATAAAATTAATTTGAAATCAAATCAAATCAATTTAAAGAATAAAATTTTTGAAAATAAATGACTACTTTAGTAAATGAAAAGAATGAAATCATTTTGAAATTAAAAATAATCTAATTTAATTTTGAAAATAAAACCAATAATATAAAAATATAATTCTATAATTAATACAAAATTAATATTTTAGTCTTTTATATGGATAATAAATTAAAAATATATTAGGCATTTTGATAAATTTAAGCGTTTGAAATTAATCAATTTTGCGGAATGTAATAAATTTTGAAAGTAAAATTAATTTAAAACTAATTGCCACTTAATGTGTTAATTATTACAAATATGATCTTGATCTCTCATAAAAAAAAATCTCAATCAATTTTAAAATAAAATAAGTTAAGGCAAGATAATTTTATAATGATAAATTGATTTAATATTATTTTATTTAGTCAATTGTTCGAACCATTTGATTTGATCGGTCCAACTAGTTGAACCCAAACCGATAGCCAAACTGACGTGGGAACTGGTCCTTTTCTTAAAACATCGGGTAGCATTCTAGACCTTAGTTTTTGATGTTTGTTGAAATCGTGTGTGGCGTTGAGATCTTGTATTGGGGGCCTAGGTTTTGATTGTAAGAGGGTTAAAAAAAGGTCAAATAATTTTTTTTAAATGCATTTTGAAGAAATAGGTTGATATTATGACTTCAAATTTTTAATACAAACGATAATTTCTTACAACCATTGTTGGCAGAGCAACAAGAGGAGTTGCGGAAGTCAGTTTACTATGAGTCCATATCTAGGGTAAAGCGGTTGTTACATGGCAAACATGATAAAATATCTCCAGAAATGTTTGACTCTGCTCTTAAGCATGCAATTACTTGTGGCCGGAAGAAAATGGCACGCTACCTCTATAGGGAGATTCCACTTGATTTTCTACGGGGAGACTCTGGCTTCTTCCTCCTAGAACGCTGTATAACCAAACGAATGTTTGGTAAAGAGTTCTACAACTCTTCTTCTCCTTAATTGATATATACTCTCTTTATATTAAAATAATAGATGATTTTTAATTTTACCTTTAGATTAAAAATTTTGGAACAATTTATATTTTTACTTACATTACTTTTCAAAAAATAATAATAATAAAGAGACTGTTTTATGAAATAAAGTTGAGAGACAGTGATAAAATTAAAGGTTAAATGTCAAATTTAGTTCATAAACTTTTATTTTTAACAATTTTAGTCTTTAAACTATTTTTTCCACTTTTTTCCTCCCTTAACTATGAAAAGTATACTTTTTTTGTTCTTTCACCAATTTTATCTATTAAGTATGACTAGATGGCATTTTTATAATTTTCTTTAGTGACCTAAATGTGCATAAAACAAAAGGTTGGGGCAAAAAAAGTCAGCTGTGCAAATTTAGTGGACAAAACTGACAAAAGGATCAAGAAAGAGCATTTTTCATTTTTGAGGTTTGAAAAAGTTGTGAAAAATAGTTTAGAAACTAAAATTGTTCAAAATTAAAAATTTAGGAAATAAATTTGACATTTAACCTAAGATTAAAGTATAGTAAGAAAAAAAT